GAGGATCACTTGAGGTCAGGAGTTTGATAGCAGTTTGGCCAACATGGTGACATCCCGTCTCTACACAAAAATTAGCCAGGGATGGTGGTAGGCACCTGTAATCCCAGCTACTGGGGAGGCTGAGGTAGGAGAATCACTTGAACCCAGGAAGCAGAGGCTGCAGTGAGCTGAGACTGCACTATTGCACTCAAGCCTGGGCAACAGAGCTAACAGACTCCATTTCAAAAAAAGAAAACTGTTGAGACCGGGTAATTTATAAAGGTTAGAGGTTTAATTGACTCACAGTTCCACATGGCTCGGGAGTCCTCAGGAAACTTACAATCATGGCAGAAGGGGAAGCAGTCAAATCTTACATGGCAGCAAGTGAGAGACGTGAAGCAAATGGGGAAGTGCCCCTTATTAAACGATCAGATGTTGTGAAGACTCACTCCCTATCACAAGAACAGCATGGAAGAAACCATCCCCATGATCTCATCACCACTCACCAGGTCTCTCCCTCAATACCTGGGGATTTCAATTCAAGATGAGATTTGGATGGGGACACAAAGCCTAACCCTCTCATAGGATAATTCAAATGCAGCATCCTCTGATATATGCTGCTATGGCCAAACAGAACTGAACAGGTTTCTGTCTGGTCCCATCCTCTGAGCAAACAAGAATTCCTACAATTCCTTATAGAAAAGCAACAGTCACTATGAAATTCACACACCTAGAAAAGCAGAAGGTGAGACGGTGCCATTACTTCTTGAAACCATGACACTGATTCCCGTTTCCACAAAGGGCACAGAGAAATCCACCACTTCAGAACGTTCCTCGTTGATGGTGAGCGAGCCAACCGCCATGACTGCCCGTTGATAGACCACCTGGATGCAAGAGGAAAAAAAAAAAACAACAGTACCTTTACTTTTCCTGCCAACATTCTTGAGGACTGCAGGCCCTTTGTCTGAATGAGAGCCCAGGGATGAAAAGATAACTTACTTCACCAATCATTCCATTCCACACATTGTTAACTTTCTTGCCATGCTTCCCATTGGTCACCAGGTAGAGGTCGTAAGTAAACTTCACAGTTCTGGAAAGCTTCTTCAGAATATCAATGCAGAACCCCTTGCAGCATTTCTTAACATTCATCCCCTCATTGGTCGAATTGCTGTAAAGAAAAATCCCAAGACTTTAGAATGTTAGCACTGGAAGGTTTGTTCACAATCATTAGCTATACTTTTCTATTTTTCAGATGAATAAACTTGAGTAACCTGAAGTTTAAAAACGGAAGTGGCTTTCCTAAAGAGTATATGACAGCAAAGGCAGAAAGTATCCTTAATTATAGCAGTTACCATGACAAGAGCTAACACTTATTGAGTAATTACTATTTGCTAGGCACTATCCTAAAGGCTTTATACTAATTGCTGAATTAATCTCCATGTCATTTTCTGAATTAGGTGATATTTACACATCCATTAAACAGGTAAAAAATACCAACTCTTAAAGATTTAAGAGTTTATAACATATATAACAACTTTAGATTAGAGTTTGGTCATCTGATCTAAACTGAGTCATAAAAACTTGTTAGTGAATGGAAGAGAGGAGGATGTGAAATTCTCAGAGAAAGCAGGGTTTTGCTTCATTCTATAATTATGGAGGCTTGAAATCAAGGGGGAGAAGTGATGGTAACCAGAGAACTCCTCAGCCAAGAATCAGGAGACCTGAGTTCTATTCTATGCCTGAGTCTGTGGACTTAACTTCTCTTGATAGAGCCAAATGTTACATGATGGCTCAGAAATAATGTCTTCCCTACTTACCTATGTCACATGTAGTACAAAATGAGACACTTCTAAAAGCAAGGTCCTTGATCATATAAAAGCCCTGTTAAAATTTAAGCTATCTTAAAGGCTATCATATACTCTACCAAGGGTATACTTATTGCTCTGTACCAGTCACCCTGCTGTATTCACCTGAACAAGTCATATTCAAAGGACACCTATGCAAATCAGAAAAATACCTTTAAAAAGAAAAAGGCCAGGTATGGTGGCTCACACCTGAAATCCCAGCACTCTGGGAGGCTGAGACAGGTGGATCACCTGAGGTTATGTTGACCAGCCTGGCCAAGATAACAAACCCTGTCTCCACTAAAAATAGAAAAATTAGCCAGGCATGGTGGCGGGTGCCTGTGGTTCCAGCTACTTGGAGGCTGAGGCAGGAGAATCACTTGAACCCAGAAGGCGGAGGTTGCAGGGAGCCAAGATCAGGCCATTGCACTCCAGCCTGGACAACGAGACTGAAACTTTGTCTCAAAAAAAAAAAAAAAGAAAGAAAGAAAAAGAAAACAAAACAAACAAACAAAAAAAAAGCAAGCTGGTCTACCCAACTGATAGCAAAAAGTACTTAGACAACTCATGTAAGATCAAGGCCTTTCTGGGCAATATGCTTCATTAATGGACATCCCATTATCTCAACCCTGTCTTTGAATCATGCATTTCATGAACATGTTCTCTGTTTGAATATCCCATTTTTGGCACATCCACACATTGGAGTGTTACCCAAGCACTAAAGTGATGTCTATGGAAATCCAACATCAACACAGGAGAATTCTTATGCTTCCATGTCATATGAAAAAAGTAGGTTATAACATGGTACAAACAGAATAATCACAGCTATATAGAATCAGAGGAGCTTATGAAATAACCGTATGGAAAACCAGTGAAATATGAAGCACAGGACTGACGCAGTGGCTCATTCCTGTAATCTCAGCACTTTGGGAAGCCGAGGTGAGTGGATCCCCTGAGGTCAGGAGTTTGAGACCAGCCTGGCCACCATGGAGAAAACCCATTTCTACTAAAAATAAAAAAATTAGCTGGGCATGGTGGCACGCACCTCCCAGCTACGCAGAAGGCATGAGAACTGCTTGAACCCAGGAGGCAGTGAGCCAAGATTGCTCTACTGCACTCCAGCCTAGGTGACAGAGCAAGACTCTGTCTCAAAAGAAAAAAAGAAAGAAAAAGAAAAAAGTGTGAAGCATAGCTATTTTGAAATGCTGAAAAAAAAAATTCTTTTTATTTTAACCCTAAAAATAAATTTCCCCAAATAAATTAAATTTATTTACCCTAAAAATAAATTTCCCCAAATTGTCTAGTAAGTACATACTGCTGATGTAATTGACAACACACACATCAAGCAAGATTGATGTATGTGATATACATCATCTCTATATCCATAAAGGTGGGCAGATTTGACAGAACAATTTTTTTAAGAAATGTACTCTTGCTCTGTTGCCCAGGCTGGGTTGCAGTGATGAGATCATGGCTCACTGCAGCCTGGACCTCCTGGCCCCAAGTGATCCTCCCACTTTGGCCTTCCAAAGTGCTGGGATTACAGGCATGAGTCACCATACTCAGCTGGAAAACATAATTTTGAGTGACAGAAGTGGGTTGTAAATAACACTTGCTTACCAATGCTTTCCTTTATCTCAGGATCACAGATCACCTGTCTTAAATCACTCTCTACCCCATTCCACCCCTACATCCTGTTGGTGACTTGTACTCAACAACTCTGCTTCTGTTAGCCCAGACCAGCATAGAAACTTTACTCTCTTGCCCAGAGGCTGGATGACCTGCTGTGATCCACCACCCTTAGTGTGGGGGTAGTTGGAGGTCACATCTGTATATATTTAGATGTGATGATTAGCAACCTCAATGATATATAGTCACTGGGTAGGTGCCAGCTCCATCCATCTCCACCAATTGCCCAGAACAGAGGGCATCAGGCTAGAGTTAAAACTGCCACAAACATAATAGAAATGTGTCTTACGCACATTAATTTGATGGAATGTCCAGATACCATTTCCTTCGTGGTATACATGGCTGTGAAAAATGCATCAAAATCGAATTCTCTCTTTTTCTTCGGGGCAACTGTTGGCCACACATTGACACCCTTTTACTACCTCTGCTCTTTTTTATCACCTTCATTCTATGCTCTTTCCCTTCTTCCCCTATCACGAGCTCTTCCTTCACCTGGTCAAGATATGTGGGAGATTAGACAGAAGTTTTAGATGTCCTAGGTTCAAGATTCAGGGTCACAGGCATATAGTGGCATTCTTTGGTTTCCCTGGAAACCTCAGCCAGTTTATGAGTTATCTCACCCATATCCCTGAACATGATGTGTATTTCTAAATGCAAATGATCATTGATGCATTTTCACCCAACAAGTACCCACTAAGTGCCTACTGTGCCCCGGGAACACAGGATGAAAAAGGCACACAGCAAATGCAATAGTTGAATTTATCACAGTAATTATGGAATTGCAGACCAGCTTGTAATTGGGAACGTCTGTTGATTCCTATTACAGCCCTTGTGTGGGTGTGCAGGGGATGTGACTTAACTACACAGACTGAGAAATGGTCCCCATGTGATCTCTGTCAGTGCTCCACCACCACCCAAGAGAGGCAATGACTCACAAAAACAAATATGGGGAAAGGGATCCAACAAATTGTCCAGTTTACCAGCTCTACAATTTCCCAGTATAGCCAGTGGCTGTGAAAACAGCCATGCGAGTCAGAGCTGCCTTCAGGTCCTGGGTTGGCTCCTGTCCACCATGGAGACTCAGACAAATCTCATCTAGCACTTAAAAATAAATTTCTTTTCTTCTAACCAACGGTTTGACAGTTTGGGAGCTTAATTGACAGTATGGCCATTTCTCACTACATATCAGGCCAAATGATTTTTCCAATTTTCTCTGCATGTCTTTATCACCCAACTAACAGATTAGAAAGAAAGTCAGATTTCTCAACTCATTTCCTGTTACCTGGCATCCTTAGAAGATCCCGCCATTTACCAGAAGTGAGAAAAAGGTTTCACACAATCATGATCAGCCTGCCTCAAAGACTTTCCCTGTAGGAAATGCAATTGATCTCATCTTCTTTAATGTTGGGATTAGTGGATCCTGGCAATTTTCTATTGGTCTCACATGAGTCAAAGACTTTCATTTCATCTAGACACATGGTAAACTTCTCATATCCCCAAGTGGAAGAAGCAAAGATGCAAGCTACTATCTCCTAGCAGAAACCAAAAACATGCATTTGAACATGTTAAGCTGTTGACAGTCTTCAATTGAAAAGTCAATTCTTTTAAAGATAGCAATTTGTTTTTATTTCTCTTCTTCATACAAATGTGACTCAGTACTTGGGGATCTACTTGTTTTCAGCTCCAAGGCTTTGGATTTTAACAATTCTAAACTCCTATTACTGATTCTGGAGCACAAGAGGCCTCATTTGATTGCTCTATTGAAACATAGAGGGTATCGTTATCATAGAGGAGGTGTCCCACTGAGGTTACACTCTGCTTTGTGCCAGCCACTTTGCTTTCTTCCTCAGGCCAAGTTCTGCTCAAAGAACACCCTTCCAAATTAGAACATCCTCTGACAACTTTCCCACATCATCAGCTCCGTCCTCCTTGTAATTCATCACTCTCTAGCATTGCATTGGGTTTCCTTCTATTTCCCAAACTTTCAAGCTCCTCTCCTCCCCAGGGCCTTTGTACCTGCCATTGCATCTACTTGGAAGCCTTTCCCCAGATCTTCACATGTCTGGCTCCTTCTCATCCTGTATATATCACCTTAAACCTTACCTCTGTGAGCTAAAGTAACCCCACATACCCCAATTTACTCTCTTCTCACACCATTCTTTTTCTATTCATCACAAGGTTTATTACAACATGGGGTTGCCTGTTTTTTCACTGGCTGAATTGTTTTCTAATCATGTAGTCTTTTGCCTGCCCTGTTCATCCATGTGTCCCCTGTGCCCAGCAATGTGCCTAACATGTAAACTCTGCTTAATGCACATTCATTCATTTATTTCTTATTAAAACAATTTTATTTAAAACAACATCTGTGTTATTTCACTGTAAAGAAATTCAGCAAAAATCATTAAAACATTCATGACCCCAAAACATGGGCTGTCTACTTGCCCTTCCTTAGTGGGCCCTACCTCTTCCTCATCCCCAGCGGAGAGGAGGCTGGGGGGCTGCTTATCAAAAAAAAAAAAAAAGCTTCATCTCAGGGAGCCACCATGGAGACACCGGAGAAAGAAAGGGTCTTTTAAGGAGGGGTACATTTATTTATTGCATGATGTATTCAGGATTTCAACTTCAAAGAGGCTGACATTTGTGCCCCCATTGATAAAATTTTCTCCAAACCAAAATAGGCCTTCATAATACATTTAGCAATTATATATTACATCTTTATGTAAAAAGAAGGGGGAGCTGGCACAACTTACGTGATGGCAAGTGAGAGAAGTGAAGCGAAAGGGAAAGAGCCCCTTATTAAACCATCAGGTGTTGTGAGATCCTGATCTCAAGTACTGAGATCCGGGGACTTGCATCTTGTGTGATAATGGCTGAGACTAGAGTTTGAAATGAGGATGTAAAAATATCTCTCCCTAGTCATGAAACAAATATTGGTGTGTCATGCTGTGTCCTTGTAACTGAGGGTACAAATATTAATAAATCACATTCCCTATATGTAGGTGGCTCAGAAGACAGGGAGAAGACAGGCAAACTATAGACTGTAAAAACAGGTGATGAGGGTAGAGAGACAGGGATAGACACAGGTACTGTGGAAGTAGGAAGAGCTAACTCAGCTTGGGGACGCAGGAGCTACACTTCAAGGATGAGTTCGAATCAGGCCAAAGAAATAGATCAGAAAATACTGAGAAAAAAATAAAGCTTCCATCCAAGAGCTGGCCTTTTTCTTCTGTGACTCTCCCATGAGGTAGTGCTTTTGCTTATGTTTGCATTAGGAAACGCCAGGATCAGGGCCTTGGAGTAGGCCATGGAGGTTTCTGTGTCCCCAAAGGGTTTGTAGATTAAGGAAACCTCATCATGGACAATGTCAGCTCTTTCTTCAATCATAACAAAAGGAGAAATGACACAGATGCAGTGCCTGCTTGCTGCTGATGAGCTGAGAAACTGCCAGAAGTTCCATCTGCACCTGGATTCTATCAGAAAGTAACATGCAAGGTGTGTGTTCACTCCCAAATGGAGAGACGGTTTTAACATTTTCAAGAAGCATGGGTCTGGAATCCATAAAAGAGATGGGAAGAAGAATGTGCTGGGGAAAGGGAAGGGACAGCAAGAAGAGTGGAAACGAAATAATTATTTTTAAAAAGACTAAAGGAAGCTGGGCACAGTGGCTCACATCTGTAATCCCAGTGACTCAGGAGGCCAAGGCATGAGGATCACTTAAGGCCAGGAGTTTGAGACCAGCCTGAGTAACATAGCAAGACCCCTGTCTCTCAAAAAATTAATAAAAAATGAGCCAGACATGGTGGCGCAGGCCTGTAGTCTCAGCTACTCAGGAGGCTGAGGTGGGAGGATCATTTGAGCCTAGGAATTCAAGGATGCAGTGAGCTGTGATCACACCACTGCACTCCAGCCTGGGCAACAGAGTGAGACCCTGTCATTATATATAAGAATATATAATTTTGTATATGTTTTTAACATATAAAAATATATAATGTTGTATATATTTTTATGTATTAAAATGTTTTATATATTGCAATATGTCAAAATATATAATACCTTATATATTTTTATTTTCATTTATTTATTTATTTTTGAGTCAGAGTCTCGCTCTGTCACCTAGGCTGATGTATAGTGGCTCTATCTTGACTTAACTGCAACCTCTGCCTCCCAGATTCAAGTGATTCTCATGCTTCAGCCTCCTCAGTAGCTAGGATCACAGGCATCTGCCAGCATACCTGGCTAATTTTTGTATTTTTGGCAAAGACAAGGTTTTGCCATGTTGCTTAGGCTGGTCTTCAACTCCTGACCTCAAGTGACCCACCACCTCGGCCAACCAAAGTGCTGAGATTATAGGCATGAGTCACTGTGTCCAACCATATATATTTTCAATATATAAAAAATATAATGTTTTATGTTTTTAATGTATAAAAATATATTATTTTATATATTTTAATGTGTAAAAATGTTTTATATATTGTAATGCATAAAAATATAATGTGTTATATATTTTAATGCATAA